GGTCAACTCAGTGGATGAGGGCCAGGCGTCGAAAGACATCTTCCCTGAGGTCCTTATTTCTGAAAAGGACCGGGGCAAGGTCAGGCGGCCTCATGTGACCCCATCGTCATCGAATGCAAGGTTACCAACCAGAAGGTTGGCCGGATCCTAATAGACACCGGGAGCTCGTCTGACCTAATCAGTTATCAGTGCTTGACCAAGCTCAAGTACACATCCGGTAACATGCACCAGGCTCCTCACCCACTAGTCGGTTTTGGGGGTGGAGTAGTGCATCCGGTCGGAAGCATAGATCTTCCGATCCGGCTGGGTGAAAAGGGGCAAGGACGCCACATGATAGTCAAGTTTTTAGTTGTGGAGGAGCTGTCCGCCTACAACATGATATTTGGCCGTCCTACCCTCAACGCATCTAAGGCTGTCATCATCCCGTCCCTCATGTTGGTCAAATTTCAGAAGGATGATGGTACAGTCGGTGCCCTAAGCGGGGACCAGAAGACGGCAAGAGAGTGCTATCTCTCTGACGTCAAGACAACTGTGGGTGCAGCCGGCCAGGGCGAGCCCATAGATATTGATAACTGCGACCCAGCAGTCCCGGCTCCAAGGGCAGCCGGTATGAAAAGAAAGGCGGACCAACTGGCACCCGTCAAAAAGGAGAAATAGCAATCACTAGCCGGGGAAAGGTCAGATGACCAACGACCTCAGCCGGTTGGTGACTGCCTTGATGTCATCCTAGATGACAGCCGTCCTGAAAGAACAGTCAAGGTCGGGACGGTAGCCTTCGAACGGTTGGGAGAAGGCTTGCTCCAGCTGCTGAAGGAATTCAAAGACATCTTTGCCTTTGAAGTGGAAGAGATGCCAGGCGTCAGCCCGGATCTTGCTGTCCACAAGCTAGCCGTAGATCCCAAAAAGCAGCCGGTTAGGCAGAAAAAGAGGGATCATGGTGGAGAAAGATCTCAAGCGGCAGCGGCTGAGGTCAAAAAGCTGTTGGATGCTGGGTTCATTAGGCAATGCTACTACCCGGATTGGGTGGAAAATGTCGTTCTAGTAAAGAAGCCGAACGACACTTGGCGGATGTGTGTGGATTACACAGATCTGAACAAAGCATGCCCAAAAGATAGCTACCCGCTTCCAAAGATTGACAGCCTAGTCGACTCAACAGCCGGCCATGCGTTAATGAGCTTTATGGATGCTTATTCCGGCTTCCATCAAATACCTCTCTGGAAGAAAGATCAGGAGAAGACGGCTTTTGTCACTGATCAGGGGTTATTCTGCTATACGGTGATGCCGTTTGGGTTGAAGAATGCACCGGCTACATTCCAGCGCATGATAAACACCGTTTTTATCAACCAGATTGGCAGGAATGTAGAGGCGTATATCGATGACATGATAGTCAAATCCAAGCTACAGACGGATCACCTAGCAGACCTGCGAGAAACCTTCACCACACTCAGGCGGCACCGGGTCATGCTTAACCCAAAGAAATGCGTATTTGGTGTTGAGTCTGGGAAGTTTCTCGGATTCTTGATTGACCAAAGAGGCATCGAAGCTAATCCGGAAAAAATACAGGCGGTAATTGACATGAAGTATCCCCGCACTGTAAAAGAGGTCCAGAAGTTGACCGGTTATCTGGCGGCATTGGGGAGGTTCCTCAGCCGGTCAGGTGACAAGTGCCTCTATTTCTTCCAGGCAATCAGGAAGAGGTCAAGGTTTGAATGGGGTGAAGAAGCAGAGGCGGCATTCCAGAGGCTTAAGCAGCACTTGCATTCTTTGCCAAGGCCAGTGAGCCCCCTACCCCGGGAGGTTCTGTACATGTACCTAGCCGTCTCTGATCACGCCCTTAGTGCCGTTCTCCTCGCTGAGAGAGACGGCATTCAGCTGCCGGTGTACTTCATCAGCCATGTCCTTAAAAATGCTGAGCTCCGGTACCCCATGATCGAAAAATTTGGGTTGGCCTTATTCGTAGCAGTCAAGCGGTTGAAGCCTTATTTTTTGGCACATCCGGTTGTGGTATACACAGATCAGCTGCTCAAGCGTACGATGACTGCTATAGAGTCATCCGGTAGAATGATCAAGTGGGCTGTTGAAATACAAGGCCTTGAGATAACTTTTGAACCCAGGCGGGCAGTGAAAGGTCAGGCGTTTGCCGACTTTATTGTCGAGATGACTAGGCCGGTGCACCCGGAAAACCCTGATCAGGTCTGGAAGTTATTTGTAGACGGCAGCTCTACGGTGAACGGCTGTGGTGCAGGTGTTATCTGTCATTCCCCGGAAGGGGATAAGTTTGAATATGCACTACGGTTTAAGTTCCAAGCCTCCAACAATGAGGCAGAGTATGAAGCCCTGCTAGCCGGATTGCGCATGTGTAAGGCAGCCGGTGCAAGAAAGGTCGACGCCTGCTCAGATTCACAGCTGATCGTTAGCCAATACCTTGGTGACTACGAAGCCACCCATCCGGCTATGATCAAATGTTTGCAGGCGGTCAAAGAGGAGGCTGGGTCCTTCGATGAATTTCATCTGCGACAGGTGCCCCGGTCTGAAAACAATCAGGCGGATGCCCTCTCAAAGTTGGCATCATCAGCCTCCGGTGATGCTCCTAGGACGGTCTTTTGGGAAGTCATCGAAAAACGAAGTATTCAGAATGATCCCATTGGAGTCTTGGACAGAACTGCTACCTGGATGGATCCCATCCGGTCCTTTTTGACGGATGGTACCTTGCCGGATGACCCTTCAGAAGCATCAGCGCTCAAGAAGCGTGCTTCAAGTTTTGTTGTTCATCAAGGGGAACTCCTCCGGAAGGGATACCTGCAACCGTTTTTGAAATGTGTAACCCCGGATAGGGGGAGAGAAGTGTTGGAAGATCTGCACGCGGGGTTTTGTGCCTCGCATATTGGCGGCAGGTCCCTGGCCAGAAGAACCAGACGGCAAGGGTACTTCTGGCCCACTCTTGAAGCGGATGCCATGGATCTAGTAAAGAGATGCGACAAGTGCCAAAAATTCGCTAAGTTGATACATCAACCGGCAACAGAACTCACGGCAATCCATAGTCCGGTTCTATTTGCTAAATGGGGCATGGACATTTTGGGACCTTATACGCCTGCATCAGGCGGCCGCCGCTACATTCTTGTAGCAGTAGACTACTTCACCAAATGGGTTGAGGCAGAGGCGGTAAAAGGGATTAAAACGAAAGACGTGATTTCTTTCGTCTGGAGAAATGTCATCACCCGGTTCGGGGTTCCAATGTCCATGGTTTTCGACAACGGACCGCAGTTCGAAACGCCTGTCCTGAAGACCTGGTTGGGAGACCAAGGAATTTCCCATTGTTTTGCATCCGTTGGCCGTCCTCAGGCAAACGGTCAAGTTGAGGCTTTTAACAAGTTGATCTCAGACGGGATAAAGAAGAAAGTAGAAAGAGCCGGTGGACTATGGGCAGAGGAATTACCTCATGTCCTTTGGGCTATCCGGACAACCGAAAAGGGGGCAACCGGTGAGACCCCATTTCTCATGACATACGACACTGAAGCAGTTCTTCCCATTGAACATTATGAGCCTACTCTACGCATTATGTTATATGATGAGGAGGCTAACTGGGAAGCCATGCGGTTGGCATTAGACGCTCTTCCAGAGCGAAGGGGGAATGCTGCCTTGCGTCATGAGATCTACCGTCTGCGTATGACTAGAGCCTACAACAAGCGGGTTCGTAAAAGACCTTTGAAAGAAGGAGATTTTGTGCTTCGCAAAATGGAGGCAACCGGTAGGGCCAATGAACAAGGCAAATTAACCCCAAATTGGGAGGGACCCTACCGGATCTTTGAAGAAGTACGAGACGGCACTTACCGCCTGGAAACTCCAGACGGAAGAAAGTTGCCTAGAACTTGGAATGTAGATAACCTCAAAAAATACTACTTCTAAGTATTGTACATCTTTTGAAAATTTTCAAATGATTAATGAGAATTACATTCAATTTTGTATACAGCCGCCATGTCTTGTGCCTACCACAAGCGGCACCAGTAACTAATTTTTTCATCCGGTGACACCCATACGGGTGAATTCATCGAAGAGAACATCTCCCATTTGGGTGGTAAATTGTTCTAAGCGATCACACAGGCGGACAAATCCGCCTGACGATCCTTCGCACCAAAAAAGGGCAGGCTAGCAACCCCAAACTTGCAGCCGGCTCACTTTTTGGAAGGACAGCCGGTACTCAATACCGCCGCCTGACTCTCTAAGAGCAGGCCTAAACATTTGGTCTAGGCCATAATTCATTCAGGGGTATGCTTGCAAAAGCCCAACCGGTGAATGGACATCCTAATCTGGCGTGATTAGTTTGCGAAGTCCCGACCGGTAATTCAGTATAAACCGACTGGCTCCCGAATCTAATGTTGGCACTTAGTGCATATTCGAGCTATATCATATGGATAGTCGCCTGGCTTGCAAAGAACCAGACCGCTATCCAGGGGCAATTACCCAGACGCCATCCGGTTTGGTTTTGGGTCGAAATTTCTTCGCCTAGTTTGCGAAGACCCAGACGGCAGTGTTACCGGTGGGGTCTTCTTGGCAACCCTTGCAAATTTCTTCGCCTAGTTTGCGAAGACCCAGACGGCAGTGTTACCGGTGGGGTCTTCTTGGCAACCCTTGCAAATTTCTTCGCCTAGTTTGCGAAGACCCAGACGGCAGTGTTACCGGTGGGGTTTTCTTGGCAACCCTTGCAAATTTCTTTGCCTAGTTTGCGAAGACCCAGACGGCAGTGTTATCGGTGGGGTCTTCTTGGCAACCCTTGTAAATTTCTTCGCCTAGTTTGCGAAGACCCAGACGGCGGTGTTACCGGTGGGGTCTTCTTGGCAACCTTTGCAAATTTCTTTGCTGTTTGCGCAGACCCAAGCGGTAGTGTTACCGGCGGGGTTCTTTTGGTTATCCTCGCAGAAATATGTATAAAAAAATAACAAGAATTCTAATATTGAAGTGCAGAAACATAAAAAGCATTCAAAAGCCGGCTTAGCCGGTGAAAATGTTTATATTCAAAATAAAAATTATTACAGCTTAGCCCATCTCATCCGGCGCTATTACAAGATAATGCTAGGCACGCAGGCCGGGAAGTAGTTGCTACTCCAGGCGAACAGTGAGCCGGTCCTATTCCGGTTGGTTCTGGGTTGGATCAGGGTGAGCGGCTGCGTCGGCTTCAGGAACGACTTCTTCCTCTTCAGCAGCCTCCGCCTGCCGTCGCGCAATCTCCTCCCTAATCCAAGCGTCATAGGGTCCGGGCCCCGGCTCATTCGCCTCCTCGGCCAGAATGGCAAGATCAGAATATTTGAAGGCGAGTTCCCAGACGGTGAAGTCCGCCTCCGGGTGGATGAGGGAAAACGCCCGTTGCATCCGGTTTGCACAGTCATGCTCATTCTCTTCAATGAGCCTCTCCTGCTCCGACTCCAAGGTGGCCTTGAAGTTCTCATTGGCAGCAGCCGCCTCTTTGCGCAGGCGCTCATTCTCTTTGGCAAGGCGGCCATTTTCAGTCTCCGCCTTGCTCAGCCGTTGGAGGGGCTCTGTCTGTTCCTCCAACTTTTTATTGGCATCATCCAGGGACGCCTGCAGTTGGTCAACTTGGTTTTTCAGCTGATCAATCTGCTGTTGGAGGGCTTTGGTCTTCTCCGCCTGTTCCATGCGTATAGATTTAGATTCTAAGCCATGCATGTACAAAGAGTAGTCAGCAACATTATAGGCGTCATCAACAGCCCGTTTGCTTCTCCTTACCTCCTCAGACTTGCGGGTATAAGCTCGTTTGAGCCCCTCTACGCGCAGCATAGCCTGCAAAAATACAGCCGGTTAATACTGCATATTTAAAAATGCACGTCAAGAAAATTACCGCATGGTTGTTGGAGCATACGTCGGCCAGGTCGACCAGCACTCGGTCGGCATTAAAGGAGTTGATCCCAGGGATCGCCTCCTTCTCGTCCCTGGGGACGGCTTTCAGCATGGCCCGGGCATATTGTGCCCCGTCCGGCCAGCGGGGAGAATTATCTGCACCAGAAACAGACGGTGAGAAACTCGCATATGCTCTGCCTATAGATTGCCGGCTGATTGGAGAATCCCCCGGCTGCGATCGAGACTGTGAATAAGACTTGACCCGCATGGGCAGATCAAGCAGTGTAAGGTCGAAGTTACCTTGGCGGCCCGAACGGCCTTCAGAGGGACCGGTTGCGGTCCTCAATGGGATGGCAGAAAGCACATCCGCAGATCCAGGCCCGTCTGGGACCCTTATTGATTTGCCGCCGGTAGTTTGCCGGTCGGCTGTCTTCTGCACCTTGGATGCAGACTCTTAATGGGTCGGCGGAGGCCTGACCTGTTTTTGAAGGGACCGGGGCATCTGCTTCCCGTCCTGTAAACGAGAAAAATATAAGTTATGGGATAAAAGGATTGAAATAAACGAGAAGGATCAGACGGTTATACCTTCTTCGCCGCCTGGGCAGCAAGTTTTTTCTCGAGATTGGCTTTCCGGATGTCGGCAGCCGACCTAGCCGGTGTCTTCTCAGTGGTCAGCATTTTCTTGGCTTCTTCTGCAGAGGAAGGCACACGGTTAGAATAATAAATAAGCAAGGAAATAAAAGCATCCGGTACGAAAGAAACTGGCTGAGTTCCGAATACATACGTTTTTTAAACATGCTGCTTAGGCCACAAGCGGACAAGAAGCATTCGTCCCTAAAAAATTCATGTTTGGGCACCCAGTTTCTAGGTACCCTTACTATCTCTCCGGATGAGAGGGTGTCAGGAACTAACTCAAAAAACCCGGAGTCAAGGATGGACTCTCTATCATCCTCCGGGACAGGGGGCAGGCAGCACTTGGTCCCCAAGAGTTCTGGTTTCCGGTTGTAGATCCGGAATTCTCTGTTCTCTGCCGTAGTTGGGGCCTTAACCAAGTAGAACCGGTGCTTCCAGTCCGACCATTTGGATGGCTTGTCCAAGGTCATAAGGTATTTGGGCTGGGTGGTCAAGGTATACCAGGCTCTCCAGCCGCCTGGGCTCCTACTCAAGTAATGCATGTGGGCAAACGCCTCCCAGCCGGGGTTGAGGCCCTGCATCTCGCAGGCGGCGATATACCCTAAAATATTTACCCATGAGTTGGGGGTTAATTGCCAGAGACCTAGGCCATACCCCCTAAGTATGGCTTTTATTGTGTCGTGGAGAGGGAAGCGGACTCCGGCCACGAAGGCCGCCTCGTAGCACCCGAACCAAGCGTTCGCGTTCGGTTGTCCATCCTCCCACCATATTGTTCCCAGAGCATCCGGGACTTTTATTGTATAGTCACCACCCAGCGGCCGCCGTTGGATAAAATCTGGCAGCGCAGCCCGCATGAGCTCGCGGTCCTTGGAGGAGACGGCGATCATGAGAGGATCGTTCCTATTATCCCAAGAAGGCCTCTCCGCCTCCTCGCTATCCTCAGATTCGGTTAAGTAGCTGCTACTGCTACTTTGAATGTGACCGGCATCAGAGCCGGCTGGGGAGTTGGAGACCTCCTTATCAGAGCCTACCTGCTCTCTGGTCTCCTGGAGGGGAGCACTCTCTTCGTTTAAAATGCTATCACCCGGGGTGCTAGGAGCGCCCCCGAGTGAGCCTCTCTGCTCTACCTCTCCATGCTCTACTTCACCGCCTGAAGCTGGGACCTCAGGCGGCTGCTCATCTGAGCTCCCACTTCTGTAGTTGGGATCTCTGGCAGTAGACCGGATTATGGCCATTGTGTCCTGCACAGACACAGAGTCGGTCGATATGGGTGTTGAAAAAGGGTTGTCCCAAAGAACAGAGGCGGCAGACCCAGTTCTAGACTCAGCCGTACTAATAAACCGGCTGAGTTCACAGCTAGGTTCCGGGTATGGGTATAAGGGGTCCATCTACTTATGGGACCAATGAACAAAAATGCGAGTAAAAGACTCAAACGGAAATACATGAAAAAGCTAGAAAGAATAGAGACGGTACCTAGAAGAAAATCTGGAAATTCTCTGGGATGCTTGCGAAGACGCAGGCGGTTCAAAATCCGGTTGGGTTTCTCTGATTACCCTCTCGAAAACCTTTGGCTAGCTTGCAACGACCCAGACGGTCTGTAGACCGGTTGCTCTCAACGAATCTCAACTCCGAATGCTCTCAACTCTCAAATTGTCGGCTGCTCTCAAATCTTCAGAAATTTGGCAAAGTTTGTAAATGAGAGCTCGGGGGACATCTTCTCCTATTTATAGAATTTGTCCCAGAAGGTGAAAAGTCGTGACTCTTCGCCTTCTGCTTTTCCATAAACCCTAAAAAAAAAAAAAAAAACCTTTCACCGGCGCCACGTGGCACCCTGCCACGTCAGCACTAGTGAGGGGCAAATGTTTGGGGTAAAAATACCCTAAACACGTGGCCCAATGGCCTAGTGACACGTGGCATCCAGCCGTTGGTCAGCAGGGCTCCAATCCTCTGCTGACACGTGTCCTCTAAACCCTAAAAGGGGAACCATCCCTTCCCCACTATAAATAGTGGAAGGACCCTCATTAATGGGGGTTGGAACATTTGTGGTTCACATTGAATACTCCTCAAAAAGAAAAACACTTACCCCGAGCAATATTAATTGCAGAATTCTCCCATTACGCGAGAAGTAACTTCTACATTACGTGCATTCTACCTCCCATATCTTTACTAACTTGATCGTCGGAGGCGGAGCTCCTACCCCCAGGAGTCTTCGTGATTTTGCAGGCACAGGCGTCGAAGGGCATTCTTGGAATTGTAACTCTCCCGTAGGACACATCAAAAAACCCCGAAACAGAGTCCATGCAGATGGGGCCGATTCGATGGGCCTCTGAATATGGTACGAGTATAAAATACAAAAACAAATTAAAAGGGAAAATGTATGTACTGTGGTCTGTGGGGCCTCAACGGTTTGTATGATGTGAATCCAAATAATTTTGAAATCCAAAAATACCAGCTATGAATTCACCATATTCAGCAGAACTGATGGGACCCAACCCCTCGTGGCCTGTTATATTTCTGCCCTACCAGTCCCTAATCTTTTCTTGGCTCCTTCTTACCAGTTTTTATTACATTCCTATTCTTAGAGCTACTCGTATGTATGTTAATGTTATGGCCACTTGAGAGTAACAGCCACAATTACTCCTCATCCCTGTAATTTTGTTCGATAACGCGCTAACGTTGAGAATATACTAGAATTATCAGAAATCAGGAGAGAAGTTTTAACCACTACTAATCACTTGAGTTATTCCTCACCCTGCAAATTACATTTATTTGATAACATTAGTATTATCGTTGTATGTTGAGTCACATACTCCTTACTCCTCTAAGGCGAAATACGTCGAACCAGGTCAATCAAGATCTAGACACCAAAACACAAATACACATGCACCTTTCCTAATTCCTATAGAATATTCATGGGTTCACCCCTTCACGTGCATGTCACGTCCTCCTACTCTTAAAATTATGAAGCCAAATTCAAAGCCTTAATCACAAACACAATCACAAATTGTACTTTCTCTTTCTTTTTAAGTTTGTTTCTTAAACTTTGATTTTGGTTGGTTTCCCTCTCAAGGCATCCAAAAACACATTCTCACATATTGTATTCTATTAATCATCCCCACTTAAGTTCCATTCTTTTAAAAGGTTTCTATTGTAGGGTCAACAATTATTTTTACCCCCATTTTTTTTTTTTTAAATTTATGATTTAGTAAATCTAGGTTATTTTGATCTTATACACTTTTAAAGAAAGAAAGAAAGCAAGCTAACTGTACAAGTAGTAGTAGTAGTATTTATCAAGTGTACTAAAAACACAACATAGTCCTCCATAAAAACCAAGGAAGACAGAGAATTATGATCATAATAATTAAAACCAAGTTGGGAGTATTAGATTATTTGAAAGAAGCAGGAAGAGAAATTTAGAGAATAATAATGCCAAGGCAAAATCAACAGCATTGCAAAATCAGGAAAAGAGTGTCATCATCGTCGTCGTCATCCTCTTCAGTGGTGAAGAAGAAGAATTACAAATTGAAAAAGGGTGTTTTGGTAGGGAAACTCATTATGGAATCAGGTTCAGAGTCACCTTTGCAGAATTTTGATACAAATAATAATAATTATTACTATAACAATGTTACTAGTAATAATAATAATAATAAGGGGAAAGAGGGTTTTTCAGCACGAAAATTGGCTGCTACTTTGTGGGAAATAAATGGCTTTCATTCACCTGCTCGACCGAAAGAGGAAATCTTGGAGGAGAAAAGAGTTAGAAGCAGCAACAACCACCCTCATACCCCTGCTTGTGACCAGGTTAGTATCAATACATTTTTCAACTTCTGTCAAATTATTTTGAATAGTTAATTATTTTACTTTTTGTTTGGTTTGTTTGCTTGTTGAATAGCTACAGATTGATGGATCTAAAGTGGGAGGTCACAGGAGAAGATCTTCTGCAACTTCGCAGAAACTTGAGATTGCAGGAGGAGGCCCTGAAACTCTTGGAAAAGCCACTTCCATTGAGGTAAGTTGTAGTATTAACACCTACAATTCACATTTTCATTGTATGATATGATGGGCTAGTCAATTTTGATGGACAAAGGTACAATGAAATAGATACATACATGTTTGTTGATCTGATCTCAGCTATGCAGGTATCGAGTCACATGGCCGGACTTGGAGAGAACAATATGAACGTCAAAACCCGTTTGAAGGATGTTAATAACAGCCTAATCGCCTCAAAAGAGCTTGTCAAGGTCTTGTTCCGAATTCTATCCCAAGAGGAGCAACATTCATCCAGGATAACCTTAGTCTCTGCTCTACGCGTTGAGCTTGATCGAGCGAGACTCCAAGTAGACAAGTTGATTCAAGATCAACGCTTTTATTGCAATCAAATGGATGCCCTTTTGAAGCACTTTG